TTACCAACTAATTAGGATATAAAGAAATGAAAGTTAGTAGTTAGTCATTACAATCAAACTTATAGTTATATTAGGTATGTTTTCAAGGTCAAACAGAGATATAGTTTAGACAGACAGGTCATTTCCAAACACTTTAGAGATCTACAGAATATGGCATTTAAGATGTTTTAATAACAGATTTTTTTTGACAATGAGACATGTTTGTTCCTAGCAGTACCAATCTACTTCAGAGAAGATGATGGGCATTGAAGAAACTCCTTATGGAATTACTTTCTTTGTGGCAAAAGTTAGCCACTGGGCAAGAAAATGCCCTTGCCTTCATTGCTGACAGTATGCTGTCCAAAATGGACAATCAGGACACAAAAGAAAGGACTGCTGATCCTTGCCAAGACAAGGTAGGAAAGCTCTTTAGAAAATCCTGCTTCACAGCTCAGTCTGTCAGATATTGTAGGCCTGTAGGCTGAAGATGGGTTGCCCCAATGTTGCAGAGAAACCTCGGGTGACTGTCCAGGCAGCAAGCTGTTTCTGTCATCTCAATTTTTTTAGAAATCGCTTGTTGGCACTTCCTGTTTAACTAGGTAATATTATTTCCTTCTCAGGTCTCTGAGGGAGTTGAAGAGTAGATAGTTATAGTTTTCCTTGTTAAGAAATTCAGAAAAGAAATTCACTAAAGAGGTGTAAAGTGTATAAGTTTGAAAGACATCAAAAGATAGTTTTGGTAATGCAAATTAGGATAGAAGGTAAATGAGATACAATCCTTTGGATTTACAAAAATAGGACAGATAATGGAAATTTTTCTCTGAATTTGTCAAATGCAAACTGATGTATTTATTGACTTATATATTGTACTTATTTTATATAGTTTTTCTTATATTAGTTATAATTTTTTTATTTTAGACAAAAAGGGAAAATGTGGTGATATATTTTGTCCCCCAATGTAAACTAAAGTTTATCTGAGGATCAGAGGAAAAAGCCAGCCACTATAGTAAACATAGAAGTCAGGCAATGGTAGCACACGCCTTTAACCCTAGCATTTGGGAGGCAGAGATCCATCCAGATCTCTGTGAATTCAAGGCCACACTGGGACAGAGCCAGGCGTGGTGGCACAAGCCTTGAATTCCAGCACTAACCATAGAAGTCTGGAGGTCTGTACAGACAGACAGGAAGTGATATAGCTGGGCGGAGACAGGAAGTGAGATGCAGAACAGAAAGGCATATAGGCGTGGGTATACAGGAAGTAGGTCTTTTTGGCTGAGGATTTCCAAGTGGTAAGAATGTGGCTGGCTTCTTTCTGCTTTTCTGATCTCTCAGGTTTTACCCCAAAATCTGGCTCCAGGTTTTTTATTAATAAGACTGTTTAGCAATTCATCTTACACAACCTGAGTGAGGTAACCCAGATCCAGAAAGACAGATATGTACTCACTTGTAAGAAGATATTAGCTGTAAAGTAAAGGATAACCATGCTACAATCCACAGACCCAGAGAAGCTAAGTAACAAGGACAGCTCAATGGAAGATGTATAAATCTCCCTGGGAAGGGGAAAAAGAATAGACAATGCAGGTGGAGAAGGTGCAATGAGGAAGGGGAAGAGGCAGGATCAAGTTGAGGGAGGTTGGAGTGAGAGAGTACTGGGAGAGACAACTGGAATTCAGGGACATTCTGGAGACAAGCTAGAAATCTAGTGCAATGGAAATTCCCAGGAATCTATGAGGGTGACCCTAGTTAAGACTCCTAGCAATGGGGTATATGGAACCTGAACCAATCATCTCCTATAACCAGGCAAGACTTCCAGTGGAGGGATTGGGACATCAACTCAGCCACATAACCTTCAGCCTATAATTTGTCCTGGCTAAAAGATGTGCTGGGGTAAAGGTGGCATAGAAATTGTGGGAGTGGCCAACCAATGATTGGTCCAGCTTGAGACCTATGCTACCAAAGGGAGCCCACCCCTGACACTGCCTGGAGAGCAAGGACCTAGAGGCTGGATAGCGAAGAGACCTAGGATAGAACCAAACATGACTGGTCAAAAAAAAAGTCAATGAAATGATTCCTAATGATATTCTGCTATACTTGTAGATTGGTGCCTAGTCCAATTTTCATCAGAGAGACTTCATTCAGGAACTGATGAAAACAGATGCAGAGACCCATAGCCAAACATTAGGTGGACCTTGGGGAATCCTGCAGAAGAGGGGGAGGATTATGGGAGCCAGAGGGGTCGAGGACACCACGAGAACATGGCCTACAGAATCAACTAACCTAGGCTCATAGGGGCTCACAGAGAATGAACCAACAACCAGGGAGCCTGCGTGGGACTGACCTAGGCCCTCTGCATATATGTTACAGTTGTGTAGCTTGTTCCTCTTATGGGACTCCTAACAGTAGGAACAGAGGCTGTCTGACTCTTTGTTGGCTTTTGGGACCCTTATCCTCATACTGGGCTGCTTTGTCCAGCCTTTAACTTGATATGCCATGTTTGGTTGATATCTATGGGAGGCCTTCCCTCTTCTGAATAGAAATGGAGGAAGAGTGGATGGGGGGTGCAGAGGGGATGTGGGGGAGCCTGGGAGGAGAGGAAGGAGGGGAAACAGTGGCTGGTTGCAAATACATAAAGAACTAAAAAAAATTATGTAGAATTAAAACCTAAAATATAAAATAAGGTGGGGATGTAGCTCAATAATATAGTACTTGCCTAGCATATGCAAAGCATAAGTTCAATACTTAATACTTCTTAAAAAACCTAAAATACAAAGTAAATATATATAAGCCGATATTAAAATAATTATATAATTAAAATTCATTTTCATTACTTATTCATTACGCATGGATGTGTGTAGATGTGGATGTGCCACACCTCAAGTGTCAGGGAAAGAGGAAAACTTGCTGGAGTGGGTTCTCTACTTCTACCATGTGGGTTCTGGAGACAAAACTAGGTTGTCAAACTTGGTACCAAGTGCCTTTACCCACTGAGCTATCTTATCAGCCCTATATTTTTTTAAGTCAGGGAGAAGACAAAAATTTCTACAGGATATTATCAAATATATTTGTTAATTCTTTCCTTCAGGAAGTGATTCCTTGCCTAATATTATCCCTGTATTTTAGTATACCAGTCTTAGTGAAAAGAACAAGAAAAAGGAAGAAAAAAAAGAATGTTAATACTGGAGAAACCTCATGTTAATCAAATGATAATCTTTGATATGTGACAAGAAGGGCTCTTCATCCTGTTATATCATTCTCCCAAACCTTAATTATAGTCTAATCATAAGACATATACAGACAAACCTAGACTAGAGGAAATTCTATTAAACACTCAACAGTATTCTTAAAATTTTTTTAAAGATTTATTCTTATTATATGTGTATGAGTGTTTTTTTCTGCATATATGTACGTGTAGTACATGTGTGCCCACTGACTGAGGAGGACAGAAGGTGTCAGATCCCCTGGAAGTGGAATTACAGATGGCTGTGAGCTGAACCTAAATTCTCTGGAAGAACAGCCAGTGTTCTTAATTGTGAGCCATCTTTCCAGTCCCCTCCAGTCCAGTTTTTGTGTATTATATTCCCTAAGTTTTTCCTGTATGGTAGACACTTATGAAAAATACCCTGACATTCTACCAGGCCCACAAAGATCCCTGACAAAAAAAGATGAAACGTGACTACTGAGAAAGGAAGAAATGCTCTCTGATGGATACCTTGAAAAATAATCCCCATCAGTTAATCTATTTCTGTTAGAATGAGTAGAACCTATGACTTGCTTCTAACCATAGACTATGGCAAATGTTTTAGAAGATAAAACAATTTTTAAAGAAATGTTGATGTCACTGTCATTATTATGTCATATAAAATTTCATCTTAGCATATGAGAGAGAAAGATTCTCTTTGCTGCCTCTGAGAAATTGGCCCTGTTGTGAGAGAAGGCCAAATTGCAAGAAACTATAAAATCCTTTAGGAACTGAGTGCTTTCTGTCAAAAGACTACAGGAAAACAAGAATCTCGAGTCTTTTAGCTTCAAGGAAAGGAATTCAGCCCATAACTTGAAAGTAAATTCTTTTCTAATCCCTAGTGAGAACATCCAAGTAAGCACAGAGATCGTAGCCCTGAAAGACTATGAACACAGAATCTAGTCACATTTAGTATAGACTCCTGACTCACAGAAATTGAGATAATAAATGTAAACTATTTTAAGCCATTAATCTTGTGATTATTTGCAATGCAGAAACAGGCAACTAATGCACTCTCTTCTTCCTTTCTAGCTAAAGAAGTTTATTCTTAGTGAAAATGAAGGAGCATAGAATCAATTTTTCACAATTTAATTTCCACCAAGGAAAGTCTGTATGATCCAAGAAGGCAAGTACAATTTTGATAGCTTGATATTCTTGGGGCAGATGACCAGCATCAGAGAAGTGAACTTTTTTTTCTAGTCTAGTAGTATTTCAAAAGCTGTTAGGACTCAGTCCTTCCCTCTCCACACACCATCTCTTGAACCTATCCCTTCTTGCACTATCTCCCACCCTCTAAAATAACGTTTCAACACTAGGCTATAAGAGCTTGGGAGCCTTCACAGATCTCCAAGTCTAGCTCTCTTTGATTTCCTGGCTAGGGGAAGCTATACTATAAAGCTGGGAACTTTTTCTTCAAATGAAATCAGTGTAAAAATTACCATTCTCGCCGGGCGGTGGTGGCGCACACCTTTAATCCCAGCACTCGGGAGGCAGAGCCAGGAGGATCTCTGTGAGTTCGAGGCCAGCCTGGTCTCCAAAGCGAGTTCCAGGAAAGGCGCAAAGCTACACAGAGAAACCCTGTCTCGAAAAACCAAAAAAAAAAAAAAATTACCATTCTCATAAAGGAGAAAAGAAATGAAATATTTCTTGGAAGATAAGCAATCATTAGAAAATGAGCCTAAATGGTATATATTTCCTTGCACATTTTCAAATTCTGGGTATTGTAAGTATGTTGGCAGGAGATAGATACTAGTTAAGTGTAAAATTGAATATCTAATCTCACCTCAGCAGACTTCTTATGTTCCTTAGGATTTTTTGACTTCTTCCTATACATTGAGCTAGAAGTAAAGGAAGTGGAAGGACCTGCAAAAGATAATTAGAAAAAATACTGAAACGTATTACCCACTACTCTAACTAAATGCCAACTAACTAGATACATGAAAGACAGGAGACCAGAAATCTCATACTACTGAAGAAAGTATTCAATTGTACCCAAGAGAGAGTCTTGATGGAGTTTAATGTTTATTAGTGACCATCGAGACTACAAAAGCTTTAATAATGGCTGTGAAGATTCAACTTGGTGTAATCATACCTCATAATATTTTGGAATAACCCAATTCATATTCTGCCTGGAGAAAAAGATCTACCAACAAAACAAAACACCCTCCCCCCCCCAAAAAAAAACATAGAAAAACTAAGAATGTGGAACAAATAATCTTGTAGCACTTCCCTAAAAGGTATTGTTAAGGCTTTAAACAAATCAATGACTGACCCACAACCAAACATTTAGCACTGTAGTTATAATCAAAATCAGGATTTACAGTTTACATTCTCAATACTTTTTTCTTCCTTTCTAGAGAAGTTCTATTAAAGCATTGGTAGACTTAGCTTTTGTTATAATTAAATTTAAAGTAAAAATCAAAGTGTTATATGAAACATAAAACCAATTCTTCTACTCAATTTATACATTTCTAATGAAATTAAATGATAAAATGGATCTTGACCTTTCCTTCTCAAAAACATTTTAAATGTTGGAGGAAGCATGAAACAATTTATTCTTAAGTCAAAGAAGAGATCCTCAAGAGGCAAAGATACACAGGTTACTAGCTAGTTCTACTCACACTCATCTGAACTCTCACTGCTGCTGAGAGGTCTCTGACGTTTCATCATGGTGCATCCTGGGAAAAAGAACAACACTGAGTGAAATGATCAATATACACTTGTCCTAGAGGTCAGTCAACACTGTCCCACATTCAGAGGCTGACATCAAAGAACTGCTATGAATTCAAAGCCAGCCTAGATTATAATAGCGAGACCACCCCAACAAACCAATACAAAGTATGCCCAAGGTTGAGTGAGGCCATAACATTAGTCCAAACTACAGACACTGAGTGGTACACTGCTGGCTAGAGTCAAATTAAGGGGGTGTCAGCTAGGCTATCTCCAGTCAGAGACCCCAATAAGAACATGAAGACATAGCTTTCAAGGGCCTAGGCTGAAAGGCATAAAAAACAGATGGCTGAAGGAAGCACACCTATCCTTTAAGAGAATGACCATGACCACACAGCCTTTCCTCCTGCCCCATTTCCCTTTTCCTTGTTCCCATTTCCCAAATAAGAAGCCTAATCTAAAATATCTCTATGTACACAGTGAAGTTTTCTTATAAAAAGTTCCAATATTGTGAAGCTTTGGACTATATCTTCTTAATGCTTCAAGTGTCCTTCCCTGAGTGTTGCTAATAACAGATTAAAAGGGACCATCACCTTTCTGGGAACACACTCACACTAGACTTAAGGAAGATACAAACACTTGAAATGAGAGAGTGGAACATTTGGCTTCAGGTCATGGTGTTAGTGGTGTTGAACAGCACGGGACAAATTAAAAATGGGTGATGCTGAGGAAGGCAAGAAGATTTTTGTTCAGAAGTGTGGGATTCAAGCATAAGATTGGCCTAAATCTCCATGGTCTGTTTGGGAGGAAGACAGGTCTGCTGGTTTCTCTTACACAGATGCCAACAAGAACAAATGTATCACCCAGGGAGAGAATACACACTGATGGAGTATTTGGAGAATTCCAAAAGGATATACCTGAAACAAAAGTGATCTAGGATTAAGAAGGGAGAAAGGAGAGACCTAATAGCTTATCCTAAAAAGGCTACTAACGAGAAACACCAATGTCTGATTTATTACAAAATGAACGTCTCATGGCTTTTAATGTGTACCATAATTTAATTCATACACCAGAATTCATATCATAAATGTCTAACAATGTTTTTGTTGGACCGTCCTGATTTAAATAAAATTGACTTGTAGTAAAGTGGATATGATCTTTCTAAAAACAAAAATTTCAGTTGGCATAAATACTGTCACTGCTTTCCCTTTCTCAAGATAGGGCTGGACTTAATTAGCAATGTTCAACTTTCCACAAAGATGGGGTGTTACCTCAAAAGCTACTGAAAGGTTTTATACTTAGATTTATATAATTGACATTTGATTGTGTTTAAACACTGGGAAAATTCTCACTGTCTCTGAACAAAGCAGAAGTTACCTGTCTTTCAGTTTGTTCTCTGGCCTGTTACAGACAGTGGTTAAACATCAGGAAGTAATTGTCTATTCTTAACAATGCCAATTAAATTAGAATTCCCGATCCTGCCCCGGACTTCCCTTCTGGAGCACAGGTGAGTGCTCTAGCTGGGCCAGGACCCCATCCCTGGGCACCAGCTACTCCTGGGAAGACCTGCCCAACTTGGCCCCAGGTTCTGGCCACTGGGCAGGTTCCCTTCTAGCCCCACCGGGAAGGATCCCCTTCTCCAAGATCCCTGGCAGACCCTGCAATCTCCACGCCCTGGCCCCACGCCCATCTGTCTGAGACCCCAGCCTCTTCCTGAGACTTAGAGGCTGGCCCCCAGCTCCCATCCTGCCCCGGACTTCACTTCTGGAGGGGGGAGAGAGAGGGGGAGAGAGGGGGAGGGAGAGAAGTGGAGAGGGGGGAGGAGGAGAGAGGGGGGAGGGGGAAGGGAAGGGGAGGGAGAGAGAGTGAGGGGGAGAGGGGGGAGAGAGAGAGAGGGAGAGGGAGGGAGAGAGAGAGAGAGGGAGGGAGAGAGGGAGGGAGGGAGGGAGAGGGAGAGAGGGAGAGAGGGAGAGAGGGAGAGAGGGAGAGAGGGAGAGAGGGAGAGAGGGAGAGAGGGAGAGAGGGAGAGAGGGAGAGAGGGAGAGAGAGAGAGAGAGAGAGAGAGAGAGAGAGAGAGAGAGAGAGAGAGAGAGGGAGGGAGGGAGGAGCTCACATCCTGCCATGGACTTCTCTTCTGGAGAAGAGCTCCCATCCTGCCCTGGAGTTCCCATTTGGACAAGAGAGCTCCCATCTGGACAAGAGAGAGACTTCCTGAATCTGTCAGCTCTGTCTGAACCAAGTGTGCTGATAAGGCCAAGAAAGAACCACAAGGAGATGGGCAGATGTCAAGGCAGAAATACATACAACAAAATGAATAGCAATACAGCATCACCAGAACCTAGCCCTCCTCCAACACCTAGTCCTGAACATCAGAAATTGGAAGAAGCAGAAGAAAACAGCCTTATGAATGACATCATGAAGAAGGTAGACGCTTGTGTAGAGGAAAAGACAAAAAAATGGGAAGAACGCTGTAAACAACTAGAAGAAAGGGCAAACAAATTAGAAGAAATCAATAAAGTCCTGGAAGAAAACAATAAAGTACTGAAAGAAAATCAAGAAAAAGCAATGAAACAAATGAAGGAAACAGTCCAAGACCTGAAAAGGGAAATAGAAAAAATGAAGAAGACACAAACAGAGGGAATGCTGGAAATAGAAAATCTGAGTAAACGATCGGGAACTTCAGATGCAAGTATAATCAACAGAATGCAAGAGATGGAAGAGAGGATCTCTGGCGTTGAAGATACAGTAGAAGAAATAGATTCATCAGTCAATGAAAACACTAAAGCCAACAAAGTCATGAACCAAAATGTCCAAGAAATTGGGGACACCATGAAAAGACCAAACCTACGAATAATAGGAGTAGAAGAAGGAGAAGAATACCAATTCAAGGGCACAGAAAATATATTCAACAAGATCATAGAAGAAAACTTTCCCAACTTAAAGAAGGAAATGCCTATGAAGATACAAGAAGCCTATAGAACACAAAACAGATTAGACCCCCCAAAAAAGTCCCCTCGCCACATAATAATTAAACAACTAAACGTACAGAATAAAGAAAGAATATTAAGAGTATCAAAGGAAAAAGGCCAAGTGACTTATAAAGGCAAACCCATCAGAATAACACCCGATTTCTCAATGGAGACTTTGAAAACCAGAAGGACCTGGACAGATGTAATGCAGACACTAAGAGACCATGGATGCCAGCCTAGACTAATATACCCAGCAAAACTTTCAATCATCATAGATGGAGCGAACAAGACATTCCAAGACAAAGCCAGATTTAAACAATACTTATCCACAAACCCAGCCCTACAGAAAGCACTAGAAGGAAAATTCCAACCTAAGGAAGTCAGATACACCCTCGAAAACACAGGCAATAGATAAAGCCACAGAGTAAACCCCAACGAAGAGAAGTACACACACATCACCACCAAAAAATAACAGGAATGAACAATCACTGGTCATTGATATCCCTCAATATCAATGTACTTAATTCACCTATAAAAAGACATAGGCTTACAGAATGGATACGAAAGCAGGACCCATCTTTCTGTTGCATACAAGAAACACATCTCAAATTCAAAGATAGACACTACCTAAAAATAAAAGGCTGGGAAAAGACTTTCCAATCAAATGGTCTTAAGAAACAAGCGGGTGTAGCCATCCTGATATCCAGCAAAATAGACTTCAAACTAAAATCAATCAAAAGAGATCAAGAAGGGCATTACATACTCATCACAGGAAAGATCCACCAAGATGAAGTCTCAATTCTGAACATTTATGCCCCAAACACAAGGGCACCCACATATGTAAAAGAAACATTACTAAAGCTTAAATCACATATAAAACCCCACACATTAATAGTGGGAGACCTCAACACCCCACTTTCACCACTGGACAGATCTCCCAAATCGAAACTTAACAGAGAAATAAAGGACTTAACTGATGTCATGACTCAAATGGACTTAATCGATATCTACAGAACATTCCATCCTAACAAAAAAGAATAGACCTTCTTCTCAGCACCCCATGGAACCTTCTCTAAAAATCGACCACATACTTGGCCACAAAATAAATCTCAACAGATACAAAACAATTGGAATAACCTCCTGTGTTCTATCAGACCACCATGGTCTAAAGTTGGATTTCAACAACAACAAAAACTACAGAAAACCTACAATCTCATGGAAACTGAATAATACTCAACTGAATCACCAATGGGTTAAGGAAGAAATAAAGAAAGAAATTAAAGACTTCCTAGAGATCAACAAAAATGAAGACACCACATATCCAAACCTATGGAACACTATGAAAGCAGTACTAAGAGGGAAATTCATAGCACTAAATGCCCACATAAAAAGGTTGGAGAAATCTCACACTACTGACTTAACAGCACACCTGAAAGCTCTAGAACAAGAAGAAGCAAAGTCTCCCAGGAAAAATAGACGCCAGGAAATTATCAAAGTGAGAGCTGAAATCAATAAAATAGAAACAAAGAGAACAATACAAAAAATTAATGAAACAAAGAGCTGGTTCTTTGAGAAAATCAACAAGATAGACAAGCCCTTATCCAAACTAACCAAAAGACAGAGAGAGAGCATCCAAATCAACAAAATCAGAAATGAAAAGGGGGACATAACAACAGACATTGAGAAAATCCAGAGAATCATCAGGTCATACTTCAAAAACCTCTACTCCACAAAACTGGAAAACCTAAAAGAAATGGATAACTTTCTGGATAGGTACCACATACCTAAGTTAAATCAAGACCAGATAAACTATTTAAATAGTCCAATAACCCCTAACGAAATAGAAACAGTCATTAAAAGTCTCCCAACAAAAAAAGCCCAGGACCAGATGGTTTCAGTGCAGAATTCTACCAGATCTTCAAAGAAGAGTTAATACCAATACTCTCTAAATTGTTCTACACAATAGAAACAGAAGGAACATTACCAAACTCCTTCTACGAGGCTACAATTACCCTGATTCCTAAACTAAACAAGGACAC